GTAGACTTAGCTTTTAAGTTAAACATGGAAACAACCAGGGGTCTTTTCGTAGAAAAAGAGCTAGGGGAACTCATTAGCATAACTCATTAGCATATGCCACACCCCTGACATCACCAGAAGTGTGTCATAAGGCCACACCCCCTGACATCACCGGAAGTGTGTCATAAGGCCACACACCCCACCCCCAACGGTCCCGGCCGCCGCTGCCGGCCTTGCAGCTCCACTGCCGAGCCCCATGAGGGGCCCGGCGGGGGACCTGCAAGAACGGCGGGCGGGGTAGGGAGGAAGCAACTTACCCTCCCTCTTCTCCTGCCTCCTCCTGGCTGAATGAGGGCCGGAAGCGGGGCGGCCGGAAGCAGGGGGCGGGGCTTCGTCATGTGCCTCGCCCCCGTACCTCACCCGGGGGAACTGTGATCCGTCGCGATCCCCCTCGAAATGACCTCTGGAAACAACCATTGGAAAGTAGAGCTGCTATCTAACCAACATTAGCTGCACTGCTGTAACTGATTTGTCCAACAGTTGATTTATGTGTTCTCAAACTTTTACAGCAAACCTCAAGAAACAATTGGTTAGAACTGTTATAACTGGGAAATGCAGGACACCTTGATTAACACAGAAGAGGCACTGGAGCTCAGATAGGCCACTCTTTTTCCTGGGAACAGAGCAATAAACTCCTTGGATTTAAGGCTGAGTGGAAATGGTTGCCCTTTATGGAGACACAGGATGAAGCTCACCACTGCCGCCGCCGCCCACCCCCCCCCCGGGAAGCCTAGATGGATCACTGTTTGGGTAGGCTGTAAAGACTGAGGACACGTACATGCCTTATGATCAAGGAAAGGGCAGGACACAAGCCCAGTTTCAGGATAGGTCAACACGAAACCCTCCCAGCTGGGACAGAAAGAGTTTAAAGGTTTAACATGCTCTGTGAAAGGTGCACAAGCTAAGGGAATGGGGAGAAATAAAGTCTACCTTGACTAGCTTCTGTTTCAGATTTTCAGTTTTGCTTTTCCTCGGCCAGAATGCCAAGGAAAAACAGTGATCTATACAATATAGTTAACTTCTGGTTTTGTTTGTTTCTGTAACATTCCTACTAATGTTCAAAGACTTTCCTATGTTTCTGTGTTCTTAGAAATAAAAAGTGTTTATAATTGAATAAATATTTTTTCTTATTTAAAAGAATCTCAGACTGTAACCAAAGAGTTTTCCCAAACCTGCTGGCCATTCATCCATGCTTAGACCAAAACTCCTGACAGTGCTAGAGTTGGTTAGCAGGCAGGGAGGAAGAAGGGTGTGTTTGGCTGCTAACATATACATACATACACATGATCACCTTTATCAGAGCTTCAAACTACTTTTACTTGCTTTCAGCTGAGAGAATTCAGCTAAGGATATTTTGTGGGAAAACTGTGTTTAGCAGTGTGTGGAAGCACCGGGGCCCCCCCCCCCCCCGGGAAGAGCTAGGTGGATCACTGTTTGGGTAGGCTGTAAAGACTGAGGACACGTACATGCCTTATGATCAAGGAAAGGGCAGGACACAAGCCCAGTTTCAGGATAGGTCAACACGAAACCCTCCCAGCTGGGACAGAAAGAGTTTAAAGGTTTAACATGCTCTGTGAAAGGTGCACAAGCTAAGGGAATGGGGAGAAATAAAGTCTACCTTGACTAGCTTCTGTTTCAGATTTTCAGTTTTGCTTTTCCTCGGCCAGAATGCCAAGGAAAAACAGTGATCTATACAATATAGTTAACTTCTGGTTTTGTTTGTTTCTGTAACATTCCTACTAATGTTCAAAGACTTTCCTATGTTTCTGTGTTCTTAGAAATAAAAAGTGTTTATAATTGAATAAATATTTTTTCTTATTTAAAAGAATCTCAGACTGTAACCAAAGAGTTTTCCCAAACCTGCTGGCCATTCATCCATGCTTAGACCAAAACTCCTGACAGTGCTAGAGTTGGTTAGCAGGCAGGGAGGAAGAAGGGTGTGTTTGGCTGCTAACATATACATACATACACATGATCACCTTTATCAGAGCTTCAAACTACTAATAGTCAGAGAAGGGGAGTGTTTGAGTGGAGCAAAACTGCCCTATATGATAGGAGGGAATGGTTCAAGTGGGAAAGCATCCTCTTACACATTTAGACTCCCCAATCACATCTCAGGTTCTCTTGGGCAAGGAAAGCAGGGGGGTGTATCATTACAAAAACTTCTCTACATACCCCTTTAGTTCAGTTCAAAAAAGAAGTGAAGAATTTGATTCTAATAGGGGGGTAATTTTGTGACCTTAGTTTGCCTAACTTGGAGGTCACTGCCATCCTCTCTGTTCATAGAAATTTGTAGAGCTGAAGGAGTAGATTGTATCTACTGAGTCAACAACCCTCCCTCAGAAAACTCATCCAATAGTACCCACAAAGCTATTGTGGTAAGTTAGTCATGGTCCTTCCACACGCAAACACACTTCTGATTTTAAAGTGTGTATCCTTACTGCCCCCATGCAAGGACAGTATACCCAAGGAAGGACACCAAGAAAGAAGCTCCTAAAGTTTGTGAATTAATGCTATTGGTCACAGTTCCATAAATTAACAAACATATATATGAGGAGGAACCTATCCAGACAACTGTATAATCATGGTATTATCCTTACAAGTTGTATTCTATAATACTTATAGTGCATACAGTACTTGAAGTGCATATGTGTGGTAGAATATATGATGAACCGGTTTTATGGCCAGGCTCAAATACAGTTGTTAATACTGACTGGAATATTGATCCCGTCAAACCATATACAAAACTAAGCTGGGTTAAAGTGCGTCAGGAAAGGAGTTAATTTCCTTCCCAAGACATTGGGGAATACATTCCAAGAACACTGTATGTGGTCATCATCTCAGCTCCTGAATTGCAAGCGCATGAGATTTAGGAAGCACGCCAGAGCAACCAGAAGGTCTAGCAAGCTGTACACCTTTTCCCAGTCCAACCAGGAAATGGCTGTGAGGCAGCTGGGCCAATCTTTAATTGCTACAGGTCAGTTGTGCTGCATAATTATTTGGGAAGTGCTAACTTTAGCACAAAAGGGAATGCTGAGCCCACCAAGCAATGTCTTGAGAAACCAACGTTACCTCTAGGTCGCCATTTTGTTAAGTCAGAAAAATCCAGTGCTGAAAAAGAGCCACCAGAAAAATTTCCTGATGACATCAATCCTGCAACAAAAGAAAAGGGTGAACCCAGAGGCCCTGAACCAACTCGTTATGGAGACTGGGAGCGAAAAGGACACTGTATAGATTTTTAAATGGCTCCATATTGTTAACATGACGTATTTGGATGAAGGTTAAGCAAATGAAGATATTTCATCTGGATGATGCATGATCTTTCTTTCTGTATCTGTATGTGCAGTTATGTGCTTTTAGCATCTATGTAATGGAGGATACTTCCTGTGAATAAATATACTTCTAAGTAAAAAAAAATACTGAATTTGGGCAATTAAAAACACAATTCAAGCCACTTTCTATAAAAATAGTGTGTAACCACAGAATCCACACTCAGCCATTAAGTTCCCTGGTGGAGTGGTCATGATTTCTTAATCTTACCTACCTTATGGGGTTCTTGTGAGGATAAACTGGAGGACGAGATTACCATATACATCACCCTGAATTCCTTGAAGAGGAGAGGAAAAGAGAAAAATATGATCAAAATAATTAAGTGTATAATTCCTTTAAGATTGCACTTTATTGAATCAAAATGGAGACAGTCTTCACTGTGCCTTTGAAAATGGTATTTGAATGAGGGCAAAGGTAAAAAGAATTCGGTGTAACATCACTGTGAGGAAAAACTCATGTTAAAACATGATTTAAAATACAACCCTTTGGCTTAATTAATTAATTAGCCATTATTCTTAAAATATGGTAGGCTCTGGTGGAAGCCATTTCTCCAGATGACCTGTTGCCTTCTAGCTCCTGAGCATCTCTACACTTCTTCTGTGCAACCTTGGTGCAATTTTATTATGAAATTTATTATTGATATTTAACTGTTTTATTCTTTTTATTCATTTTTTTGTTATCGATCGAATTTATTTTATGAGAGCATAATAATTTCAGATCACAGTGGCAGAAAAGTTGCTGCTCATATTATTGGCACCTCTCATATATATTGCTGATAGGAATTATGTGAAATAGTAGAAGTGTAGATTTTTAAAAAATTATATAGATTTTGCTCTTCTTATATGCATTTGAAGAAATATCCTCCTAATATGACATGTGAATCCTAGATAATAGCTCTGTACTGCAAAAGAAGGATTTTCTGGCCATTTATGTTGATCTCATGGCATCCGGTCTCAGCATTTGTTTGCTAAAGTGCATCTTGCTAATAGCGCTGTGATTGCATGAGATGCAATTGACCATAATGTAGTAAAACTGTGCAGCTAAAGAACGATTCAGTTACTCTGAGCCAGAGAAACAGATTCTTGGATGTGACCTGCTGTAGAACTCTTCAGGTTGAATATGCACCACTATATGCATCATTATCGCAAATGTCTTTATCTATGTGAGGTAATGAAATTTTATTCTAATTTATAATAAATTTATTTTTGAAAACTGTACCTAACATCCGAGTAGAATATTGTAGTTATTATGCTTAGGCAGCTTTAACATGTGCAGTGTTCTTTTTGTAAAGTCTGTAGAAAATAGAGTTATAGAAAGAAAAATGGATTGAAGTTCCTGTCAAACAGAGATGTTTTAATTTATGTTGTTAGTTACGTACCTTGCTGTTAATTCTGTTTCTCAAGCAGCCTAATCTGAAATCCATTTTCCTTATATTCAGCTCTGGTTTTTAAAAAAAATTGAGCATTTTTTATAGAAATAAAAAACCTGACTAAACTTGAACCTTCATTTGGGAGTGGCACATACATTAAAAATATGTTTATATAAATGAAGGCTTTTTTGTGTCAAGCAGTGGAAAACAATTCTGAAGGTCTTATGTATCCTGTTTTCTTCTGTCTTTTTTTTTAAAAAAGAAGAAAAGTGGAGCACCGCCACCCATGAAATTGCCACCTCCTTACAAAGAACAAAAAAAGTCCATCTCTGAGGAGACAGAGGAAGAAGATGAGGACTTTTATACAGAGGGTAAATGATGCAGTGTTTTACTAATATTTCTGTGTTAAGGATTGCTCTTTATCTGTGATTCTGCTATGAAGTAGCAGGCAATAGTAGGGGCTGTATTTATAGGACCACAATTACATTTTGTCAAAGTGTTGAGAGATCTCAGTTTCTGATAGGCTAGTTAATTTTCACAAAATTTATTAAACTGCTGTTTCTCAAAACTAATAGTGGACAACATTCTAAAAGGTCTCTTCCAGAAAGTAAAGAAAACTTGTTTCCCGAGCAAGTAAATATGGGTGGTGTATCTGTATACTGATGTTTCAGTCTACATTTCTGGAGAAGAACCGCGTTGCATATTTTTCCTAGGCTTGTTTACATGATGTCCAAACAATGGCTCTTACATCTGAATCATAGGAGAACCAAGCTTTATGTTTAGAGAACAATGCAATTTCTTTGTTTGTTGTTGCTTCTGAATGATGCCATATTCATAAGATCTCTGCTAGATCAGACCAGTGGTCCATCTAGTCCATCAACCTATTCCAGTCATTCTGGAGGGCCAGCAACAGGACATAGAGGCCATGGTCTTCTCTTGATGTTGCCTCCTGCCACTGGTATTCAGAGGTTTACTGCCTCTAAATGTGGAGGTTCCCTTTAGTCATCATGGCTAGTAGCCACTGATAAACCCATCCTCCACATCTGTCCATTTAAAAGCCATCTGTGCCTGTGGCCAGCATTATATCCTCTGGCAATGAATGTCACATTTTAATCACTTGTGTAAAGAAGAATTTCCTTTTGTCCATTCTGAATCTACTTCATTGAGTGCCCTCAGGTTCTCATCTTCTTAAAGTCTTATGGTTGGCTTATTTGATTTTCTCCATTTGAATCATGATAAGCCATGTACTTTGAAACCGCAGATACACAAATATGTTAATGCTGTTTTTACACTGTGGTGTGGATTCATTTAGCACAAATGGCATTGGAGTGAAGAACAAAAGGCTATTATTGTACATAACTCCTCCCCTATAATTCTTCCTTCACTTTAAATTGCAGTGGAGTGAGAGAAACATGCAAATCCCAAAAAGGCATGAAAGGGTTGATGAGAGTGTGGTTATAGAATAAGATTTATGAGTAGTTCAGGGCTGAATAAAATATAATGGGGTGAGAGAGAAAGAAGTGGGGGAAAGTTCAGGGAGAGAGGAGAGAACCTGAATTTCAAATGACATAAGAACATAAGAGATGCCAATGTTGGATCAGGCCAAAGGCCCATCCAGTCCAACACTCTGTATCACACAGTGGCCAGAAATACCAGTGCCATCAGGAGGTCCACCAGTGGGGCCAGGACATTAGAAGCATCCGATTGTCCCCTGAAGGGGGAAAGGAGAATGATGGGGTCCCTCTTTAGGCTCCCTCCATCTTCAGTACTTCCCTGTAGCATTGTGTCTGCCATTTCTCCATCCCCCCCCCCTCTTTGCTCCTAAGGACCAAAAGCACATACAGTACAGTACAGTACAGTAGTGTGTCAGATCAATATGTCAGTTGTGGGTGAAGCAGTAACAAATGTGAGGAGTGCTCTATGATGAGAGTCATCTTGCTGCTTAGATCAGTGAGCAAGCCTGATGTGGATTCTGTTTTAAAGAGTGCCAGGAATTACCACATTATTTGTCCCAACTGCTTATTCACAGGCTTCCCCTGTCATTCTCATAGTTCTAGACCTTTTGCAAACTTGAAGTACTCACATAGTGTTTGGGAAAAGAGAACAGGTGAGGTGCTAGAAGATTGGAGGTGAGCAAATGTTGGCCCCGTCTTCAAGAAAGGGAAAAAGGAGGATCTGAGTAACTACCGACCCATCAGCTTGACATCTATACCTGGGAAAGTTTTAGAACAAATCATCAAACAGACAGTCCTTGAGCATTTAGAAAGGATGGCTGTGATTACTAAGAGCCAGTATGGGTTTCTCAAGAACAAGTCATATCAGACTAACCTTATATATATATTTTGAGACAGTAACTACCTTGCTGGATCAGGGGAATGCTGCAGATATAGTTTATCTTGATTTCAGTAAGGCTTTTGATAAGGTTCCACATAATATTCTTGTTGACAAATTGGTAAAATGGAATTTGGATCCTATGACTATTAGGTGGATCTGTAACTGGTTGACAGATCGTACCCAAATAGTGCTTGAGAATGGTTCTCTATCCTCTTGGAGAGGAGTGACGAGTGCCTCAATGATCTGTCCTGGGACCTGTTTTGTTCAACATCTTAATAAATGATTTGAACGAAGGAACAGAGGGAATGCTTATTAAATCTGCAAATGATACTAAATGATTGGGAGGGGTGGCAAATATGGTAGAAGACAGAGTCAGGATACAGGATGATCTTGACATGTTGGAAAACTGGGCTGAAAACAAATAAAATGAATTTCAGTGGGGATAAATGTAAAGTTCTGCATTTAGGTAGGAAAAATCATGCATAATTATAGGATGGGGGAGACTTGTCTTGGCAGTACTATGTGCAAAAGGGATTTAGGGGTCTTAGTAGACCATACACTGAACATGAGTTAGCAGTGTGATGCGGTAGCTAAAAGGCAAATGCAGTTTTGGGCTGTTTTGACAGAAGTATAGTGTCCAGTTCACGCAAAGTGATGGTATTGCTTTACTCTGCTCTGGTTAGACCTCACCTAGAATATTGTGTTCAGTTTTGGGCACCACAATTGAAGAAGGATATAGACAAGCTAGAATGTGTCCAGAGGAGGGCAATGAAGATGGTGAGGGGTCTGGAGACCAAGTCCTATGAGGAAAGGTTGATGGAGCTGGGTGTGTTTAGCCTGGAGAGAAGATGACTGAGAGGTCATATGATCACCATCTTCAAGTACTTGAAGGACTGTCATATAGAGGATGGTACAGAGTTGTTTTGTGTTGCCCCAGAAGGACGGACCAGAACCAGCAGGTTGAAATTAAATCAGAAGAGTTTTCGGCTAAACATTAGGAAGAACTTCCTGACAGTTAGAGCAGTTCCTCAGTGGAATATGCTTCCTTGAGAGGTGTTGGGGGTTTTCAAACAGAGGCTAGATGGCCATCTGACAGTAATGCTGATTCTGTGAACTTAGGCAGATCATGAGAAGGAGGGCAGGAAAGTTTGCATCAGTGCTTAGTTCTTGTGGCCCTTTCATACACGCCCAGGGAAATGCTGATCACCACTTTGGGGTCAAGAACCAATTTTTCTCCAAAGCAGTTTGACTAGAGATCCTGGAAGGTTTTTGTTTTTGTTTGTCATCTTCTGGCCATGAAACAGTGGTCACTGGGGGTGGGGGGGAGGTATTTTTGAATTTCCTACATTGTGCAGAGGGTTGGACTCAATGACCCTGGAGATCCCTTTCAACTCTATGATTCTGTGATTCTATAACCATGAACAGAACAACTCCCAGCAGCCTTTTGTGATCCCTCAAATGTAGCTCCCTGAGTTTGTGAGCTGGTAGAGTGCAACAAGGGGGTCTGTAATGGGGGAGGAGAATCAGGAAATTCACCACCATAACTTTCATGGGCTAAAAAAAGACTTATGGTCCAACCCACTACTATTGATAATGATTGTGCTGTTTCTCAGGCATACTTAGTACTGCAGAAACAAGCTGGATGTTTTTCTGCATAAATATAATAAAAACTGTATAATACTATGTTAAGTCCTGGTATGAATTTGTTAAAATGATGGGCATGGTGAAGCTTTAGGTACTTGACTTGTATTGACTGCCCTGTGAAGTTACTGGAGAAAGTAACTTCTTGGGGACAATTAGCTCTGCAAGAGGAAGAAAAAAGAAAGCAAACTGATTGTTACAAAAACTGGAGTGTACACTGCTTGTCATAAAGTGAAGAGGAATGTGAAGTCAAACACTGCCTCTCCAATAGATGTCACTGCAGTCACCAGTAAGTGTTGCTGTTAAAGATGTGCACAAGGAAAAATACGTTAAAGATGGCTGTCTAGTAAATGTGGACTTTTCTCACATTTAAATAATGTGCAGTGCTTATTTGGCTTTATTTGCAAGAGTATTTGGTCCCTTAGTTATGACATAAAAGGAGGATAATTGGCAAGGAGACTGGTGTTTTAAGTTTTTGCTTCTGCTTAACTCTTTTTTATTGTTTGTAAGCAAACTACAGATAAGCAAATATGTTATTTAAACAAGCTGAAGGAGAAAAAATAATAAAAACTATACTCTTTGCATTATTTGCTCCATTTGACTTAAAACTCCTTGCCAAGTTCAGTCAATTCTAAAAAACATCTTCGTTTTTTAGGAGCTGAAAGCTTTATATATAAATAAAAAATCTTTATCTTTAAAAGTTCATCTCATTGGTATTTTCTTCTGCTTCCAAACCTCAGCTAAGGTTAATCTAGTGGCTTTTATATCATACAGTGTTATCACATGAAGCTTCTTTGGAATAGAGGCTGAATAGTTTAACAAGAATAATTCTGGTGCACCTTCAATATTGTGTCCAATTCCTTTTGAGAGCACCAGCTTCCAATATTACATTGCTCTAATACATTCCCACCATATATTTATAAAATCAGCATGGGGTTCATTAGAGTACCTATGGTGATTACTGATGCCTCCGTACTTCCTTTCCAGTCTAACCAGAGAGAGGTGCCAGTGGTAAAGCATTTTTATAGCATTCTCTCTTAAGCTAACATTAATGAAAAATGATAGATCAAAATGATTTAATTTATTTCATTAGATTTCTTGACCACCCTTCTGCGCTTATGGGGGGTTCAGGGCGGGTTACAGCAAAATAATTCAATACATTATAAAACCAATTAGAACCATAAAAATCAATATAAAGACATTCAAACATATATATTTGAAAACATTTTTAGAACAAGATGGCATATCTAGCATTCAGTTTTGGGGGAGGAGGGGAGGGTGCCAGGCAGATGTAAGGAACCGTCGCTGGCCTCAACCAAAGGCCTGGTGGAACATCTGTGCCTTACATGCCCTCTGAAACTTTAGATCAGACAGCATGGATGTCATTCAGCAGAGA